TTATTATTATTATTATTATTATTATTATTATTATTATTATTATTATTATTATTATTATTATTATTATTATTATTATTATTATTATTATTATTATTATTATTATTATTATTATTATTACTATTGATTTATTATCACTGTCATTATTACGTCGATAATGATAATGATAATAACAATGATAATAACGATAATTATGACAATGCTAACATTCATTCATTTTGTTAGCTATTTTCATGCAGTTTTTTTTTAAAAGAATAATTATAGATTGAAGAGGGTTTTTACTTAACAAATTTAAGTAAAGTTATGTTTCGTACTGAATAGTTTTTTCCTGTTGAATTGAGGTGTTTTTTTTAAGCCCAATTTTGATACTTTATGCATTATGTCACCAATCCTTCTGATGTTTTTCTTTCATCGTTGGACCGAATATTCTTTCATTTTCTTTTTTTTAAACGATGATTTGGTGGATTTTATTCAAATCACCGGAATTTGGCCAGTGAAATATAACTGGCCAAATCTTTTTTTTTTCTAGGGTAACAATAATAAGCTTCGATTGTTTATTTTTCACAAAATGGCTATGAGTGTATGTTCATATTACCATTACACACTCATTTAAGCCTTAGGATTTACATTTTTGATCGTTATGATCTTTCTAAGATTTTGAAGCTTATTTAAGCTCAATTTACTATCGATCAATAGCTCAATAGCTTCTGTTCCTTGCTCTTCCACCCGCTTTTCATTCGGATCATGCTGGAATGATTGATCCGTATAATCAGGAACAAATACCAAAATAAATTCCCCATTCCTTGAAAACTTGTGTTTATTTTTCCCTTGTCCTCATACAAAAGTTTTCAACATGACGAAATCGAAATGAAATTTTTGTAAATATTACTTCCTTGAATCGATTTTCTTCTCACAAATTGTTTTCTCGTTGTTTGTTTACAGTCTTATACAAATTGTTCCTTTTCTTTTCAAAAAAATGAATGTTTTCAGTAAATTGTATAAATTGTAATTCTCTTCTGTTATTCCCAATTACAAAAAGAAAATACTGGGCGGAAAAAAAAGGAAGGAAGCACTTTGCCGTTTAATATCAACAAGAAAACATTTAATTAATTAATTTATCAATTCAATCAGATTTGCTGAGACACATCAAATTACTTTTGATATATTTTGTATCATATGGAATTAATGCTTTTACAGATTGCGTTAATGTAACTTAAGTGTCAAAGCAAGCTTGAAAGGAGAAGAATGGAAAGTATAATTTTTATTGGGTCAAGTTTTGCATCTTCTGTATTCATCATTTAAAGTTTCTTTTTATTTTTTTACTTTTTTAGTCTAATTTTAGGATTGTTCTCCTGTTGAAAATAATATACTTGAAGGGTGAAAATTGAACTTTCCCCTTTAAGGTCAATGTTTCATATTGTTTGACTGAAATTGTTCAATTGTATTAGCATCAATATGAGTGGCCTGAATTGATCTTCTCATTCTCCCATTTCCAAAAAAACTGACCTGAGTTCTTCTACTTCGCACTCATCCTGATCCTTTCTCCCATTCCGCTTCCCATTCACCTCGTTCAGACTTGTTCTCCTGCTTCACACTCTCTCCTCACAATTTTCCAACGATAAATCGTCATACGAATGCCAACAAAGTGACACAAGACATTGTAAATTTGGCACTTCTTGTTTCTTATGTTTGCATTTTTCTAAAATTTGCATTGTCAATAATATTTTTTGCATTTATCGTGAAATGAAACAATGCAAAGTGATGATAAGAGTACGGTATGACAATGGAATGACACTGCGTGTAATTCATGTCACCCCAATCGATCGATAAATTTATTTCGTAATTTGTCAAATCATTTCATTCATGACATAAATGAAGGAAAGAATAGTAACATTAACATTGACCTTCCTGTTGGAATGACCTTTCAAATCCATTTCAAAAAGTTCACTATTGGATTTATTGCTTCAACATTTCGTTACTATATTTTATAGATACTAATTTACCAATTCACTTCCAACATCATTTTATGCTTGGAAATGATAACACATTGATTAATTCATCATGAAAAGTAAGATTCACCGCTTTTTTTTTTTTAAATTGAAAACTGAGAAGACAAAAAGAATGAGATAAGTTAAACTTCTCAAATCATTTCATTATGATTATATTCAAATTTTATCATTAACAGTTCTATGGAATGGTATGCTATGCAAAAAGCTAAATTATACGAATTTATCATTAAATCCTTAAATACTCATAATGATATCGGTAAAATTAACGGTGATAGTGATAGTTCTTACATTGCAAGTATCGTCATCAATCAATTCGACATAAAATTTTGAAAGTATTTCAATTCTCTTTGGAATACGGTGAGAACTAGCAATACTTAATAATAACACTTCGCCAATATGCAGATGTTGAAATTAATCTTGATGATATTTTTTAAGACAAGCGTGAAAATTCCATTCTTTTTTCTTGTTTCTTTTTATGCTTTCAAAAAAATTTAAATCGAAAGGTGAGAAAATTTTTTCGGAATTCTGTTTAAAATTCCAGAAAAATCGATTATAGATGACATTTCAATGGTGATTGATTAGAGGTCATCAAATGTTGGCATTAACTTCGCAATGGTAGTCAAGAACAAATATCCGGTTTGAAAAATGAGAGTATAAACTTCGGCATAGTTCAAATAAGAAAACAACTGTTTTGGCGCAACTGTTTTCTGCTTCTTTCCCTCTCAACAATTCCTTCATCAATTTGCAAGTCAAAAATTTTTTTAAAGCCTGGAAAGAAAAGAAGTTTAGTCCAAATCAACATTCCTTCTAGCAAAAATTAAACCGTGAAGTTAGCTCAATTTCAAATAAACAGGAAAAAGGAAAAAAAACATCCTGAAAAAAATGAATTATCAGAATTATTGAAATAATTTGTCATCATCAACGGAAACTTATCGTGGTTATCAGAAATGTTAACAATTATCTATTCATAAATTATTCACAAACATAAACAATTATCTATTCATTATCAATAATTTTGATAAAAATTATGCTATTTTCGTCTTTTTTAATTTTAATCCATGGTTTAAAAAAAAAAACTTTTTTCGTTGTTGCATACAATTTACCCATTGATGTTGATATAAAACTGTAAAAAAATTCTCAAAACAAGTTTAATTAGATTGAACTTATCATATACCTATATATGTCCATAATAATCAATCATTCACTTCGATGATTTTACATCCGTTATCAAATTTTAACCAGTCAAATGATGTGATTGATATTATAATTATAATTATAATTATTATTATTATTATTATTACTATTATTATTATTATTATTATTATTATTATTTATTATTATTATTATTATTATTATTATTATTATTATTATTATTATTATTATTATTA